AATAACTTAATAAATAAAATCTGTCTTATGAACATGAAAGGCCTTGAAAATCGACGGTAATTTCATCATCGGCCAATTTTAACGAGTAAATAATATAAATTTAACTAAAATTCCGTCTTTTAAAATGGGTAGGCCTCCAAAATCGACGAAGAAATTTTATCCTTAGCCAATTAATATTAATTTTCTTCAAAACACCAAATTGCATAAAACTATATTAGATAAGGTAGAATAATATGCCACAATCTCAAAAATATAACTATATAAAATAAAAAAAGATAATACCAACCATAACTAAATTATTATAACAACACATCAACTTGGAATAGTGAATAAAGACCAACTAAAATATGAACAAAATTAATAGAAAAATAATGAAGGCTAGCAAACATTACTAACAGTAGCTTAGCGCTATCAAACCAACAGATCACTGGAAATAAGGTAAAGAAAAATGGTAAAAGATAACATGAGGTATAGCACCAAACAAAATATTTAATATAGAATATAAAATACTACAAAGAGAAAGCAACTAAAATATAAATATAATTCAAAATGGCAATAATAAACAAGAAATTTTAGTCAATCAAACAATGTGAATAAAATAAAGGAAAAAGGGTCTGATATACCCCTCAGTTTTGTCATTTAGAGCTGATATACCCCTTGTTATGAAAGTACTCATGTATACCCCTAATTGTAAACAAATGGCTCACATATACCCTTTTCCTCTAACGGAAATGAAAAAAAAATATTTCAATCTCAATTTTTATTATTTTTTTCTAAAAAATATAATCTTATATGAGTAAATTTAATCCTCGTCAAACATATATTTTTTTGACTTTTTTTAGTTTCAATGACTAATTTATAATTATTATTTTGATAATCAAATTTATTTATGTTTCACTAATATTCTTGTAAAACTTATTGTAGATGACCAAATTTTTTTTTTCAAAAACGAAATTAAATTACAATACACACAAAAAAATAGTTTAATTTTTTTCTTTAACTAAGGAATGTAAGAAAAAAATAAAAGAAGAATAAGAAACTCAAATAATTATAATAAAAGAAGTCAAAAATTAATTTATGTATGAAAAAAATTAAAATATACCATGAACTTTGATAGAAAAATCATATATACCCCTAAATTACTTTTAATAAATATAAATTTAAAGCTAATTTTTTAACTTCCGTTATATAAAGGGTATATGTGAGCCATTTTATAACGGCAGGGATATATGTGAGCTGTTTGTATAACGGTAAGGGCATATATGAGCCACTTTTATAACGAGGGATATATCACCTCCAAATGACAAAGTTGAGGGGTATATCAGACCTTTTTCCCTAAAATAAATCATAAACAACAATTATGTTAAAGCTTACAGGAATAAAGCAATAATAATAATAATAATAATAATATTTAAAAGCTAACAACTAAATCAACAAAAAAAATTAAAGAAATCAATAAAGTCAACTATGAGACAATAAACAAAGATAATTATACAACTATTGTAATCACAAAAAGTTAACCAAAATGAAAGTCAAACAACAATTAATGACCAAACACAAACCAGTAAAGAATGAAATCAAGCAAAGGTCACCAAGACCTGCAAACCTTTCGAAGAAAAATGAGAATAAAGAAACAAAGAGGAAAGAGTGCACTAAAAAAAATTACCAAATAGATATCAGAGAAGAAGAAGTTTACTCAAAAGAGAAACAAATTGGTGGTTGGTTTTTCTATTGTTGACAGAGATAGTGGAATCCGATTAAAATGGGAGCTCGCTGGTTCACTGATCTTGCCAGGAAATTGGAGACTTAACACCTGCAAAATAAACAAAAATAAAAGGGGGAAAGGGCGAGGAGGTCTGGTTTGTTTAGATCTCGTGGGCCGTGGGTTGAGGGAAGTGGTCGGCAAACTGGTGGGTTTAGGGTCTCGTTTGGTGGTCGTTTATTGTCTGTTATTGGTGGTCGTCTAGTCGGGAAAAGTGCACGGAGGAAGGGTGTTAAAGAATGAAAAAAGTCCCACATCGGTGATTAATGAGATGAGTGGACTCTTTATAAGGCTTGGGCAATCCTCCTCCCTTTGAGCTAGCTTTTGGGGTGTGAGTTAGGCCTAAGACCTAATTTCACATGGTATCAGAGCAGGGCCCGTCTCACCCGATGTTGGGGTCCCCAAAATCAAGATTGCCCATGCACCAGATGCTAAGCACTAGGCGTGAGGTGGGGCATTAAAGAATGACAAAAGTCTCGCATCGGTGATTAATGAGATGGGTGGACTCTTTATAAGGCTTGGACAATCCTCCTCCCTTTGAGCTAACTTTTGGAGTGTGAGTTAGGCCTAAGACCTAATTTCACAAAGGGGAGGCTATGGGGTTTGGGAGGAGCTGGCAGTGAAAAAGGTCTGGTGGTTTGTGATGGAGGCTCGGTGGTCGGAAATGGTGGGTTCTTTAGGTTGTTTCTCGCCTGGAAAAGACAAGATACAGGGGATGGGAGTTCTTTTTTGGGTCTGTTTGTCGGAGAAGAAGGGAAAAATAAGGAATGTTTGATCGGATTTTGCTGCTGGTTGGAATGTGGAGTCTGGTGGTGATGTTGCTTTGGCTTGGAGCCAGCCCGAAATCGAGAAAGAGAGAAGAGGGTTGACCAATGGGGTTGGATGGTGACTGATCGACGGAAAGTTGACGGAAAAGCAATGAACAGTAGAAAAAAATAAATAGAGTAAAATAATTTTAAAAATTTAACCCCAATTCTAAAATGTAAAAATTTAAGAAATCCCATAGTGTAATTCAATAATTACACTCTGTCCCGATAAATTTAGTATTTACTAAAAATCCCTTAAAAGTTGTTGTGCCGTGATACTTTAGACTCTAGTGATACATGGTAAATGATACATGGTAAGTTAAAACTGTTAAGAAACAAATGGGAAAAAATGGTACATTTAAACTTGTTAACTAAAACAGCTTAATTCATGGTAACAGATCATTAATCAGCACGTAATTGGATATTAATTTCAAATTTTGAAAATCAAAGATTATATCATCTATTTTGAATACATTTTTTATGAACATCCTGTTAAATTTCGAACTGCAGTAATTTTATTGTTGTTATTGTGGATGTTTCATGATGAATACATCAATTTTGATGAGACATTCCGGATTTTGGGTGAACGAATTGCAGTATGAAAGTTACAAAATCGACGGAATCGTTGTTGGAGATTCAATTTCGTTTTCTAATCTCAAAGCAGCAATTGCAGCTGAGTTGGATATTGATGTATCAAGGAAAGAAATTGAAATTCGTTACATTGTAGAAAGTAACTCCTGTCCGATGAAGCTTAAGAACGATATGAGTGTTAAACTATATTTAGAACTGAAAAAAATGAGCCTGGATTTTCAATGTATCCATTATGTATTAACACAATTGAAAAGAATGGTGGTACTGTACATAACTTTGATGAAACAAGTGGAGAAATTATGTGTATAGAAGGCACAACACATGATACACAGGCTTTGGCAATGGTTGAAACTAGATTATTTGATTCATATGAAAATGCAGAAGTTGGAGTTACAAATGTTATAATCAATTCAGATATTGTAGATGTGTAGACAGGTCAGATATATAAGGATAAAGCAACACTTGTAGATGTGATGACGAAATATAAGATAAAGAACAACTTCATTTGCAAAGTAAAGAGGTCTGATCAACAAAGGTATGATAGTGTTTGGTATAAATATATATATTTCCATGCTGTTCAAAATTAGTACATGAAACATTACTATTTTATATGAAAACCTACATGTATCATTTGTTCTTTGATGTTTTAATGTATCACCATTTTAGTAATTTGTTTTGATACATTGAAATAACTATTTTGATACTTTAATATACTACTGCTGATATAGTAAGGACTGTATCAATTTAAAGAATCATATCACAACTAGTATATACTTTTCATTAATGTATCACCGTTTAATTAATTTCATAAAAACTGGTTGATACTTTTTGTGTAATTCATTGTTTGATTGCTTTAAACATTATTGTTGAATATATTATATGATGCAATTGCTATATGTATTAATAAGCTTAAAAAATGTACGCAGCTATGTGTTGGTATGTTTTTCAGACAAATGTGGTTGGACTATGAAGGCGTCCTGCAGGAAAAAATCTGATATATTCATTGTTAAGTTTCAATAGTGAACATACGTGTCCGATGAGAGAGGGGGTATTAACCAAAGTCTAAGCAACAGTCGGATTAGTAAGTGGAGTTACTGCTCCAAAATTGGTCAATCATAAACGAATTTATACTCCAAGAGATATAATTGATGATATTAGAGAATATTATGGGGTTGAAATATCTTACCAGCAAGCATGGCGTGCTAAAGAACGTGCACTCTCCATGATTAGGGGAAAACCATCTGCAGGATATAGACAGATGTCGCGATACATACACATGTCAAAAACTGTGTATCCAAATTCTTATATAAGAATGCATAAGGCCGAAGAGAATGAATTTATGTATATGTTCATCGACTTAAGACCATTCATTAGGGGATTTAAATACTACAGACAAGTAGTGGTTGTGGATGGTGAACATCTGAGTGGAGCTTACATAGGGACATTGTATCAGCAAGCACACTTGATGGTGCAGGTATTTTTTTATAGTAATGATGTGTTTTTATATGTTACGTATCAAATAATATAATGTGTGTGTAATCAGGTTGCATATTTCCATTGGCATATGGTGTTGTTGACACCGAAAATGATTGTTCGTAGACATGGTTTTTCGAACAGTTCAAACATGCATTTGGCGATAGAAAAGATATGTGTGTTGTTTCAAATAGAAATGAGAGTATCATGAAGAGTGTGAGGATTGTGTTCCCAAATGTACCTCATTATGCATGCATCTGGTATCTTTGGAAGAATGTATGTGGAAACTTCAAAAGGAGCAGAAAGGCCATGAGTGATCTATTCTACTCTATGGCCAAGGCATATAGAAAGGAAGATTTGATAAGTTGATGGCTAAGGTTGATAGAATTGATCACAGGGTTAAGGAGTACCTTGAAGATGCAGGTTACGAAAAGTTGTCAAGAGTTCATGCAAGAGTAAACAGAGGTAGAATGATGACTTCAAACATTGTAGAACGTATCAATGGTTGTCTTGTTGAAGCACGCCAATTAACTATATTAGAATTCTTGGAAGAGGTTAGAATTCTTTTTGGATCTTGGCATTGGAAAAACAGAGAAGTATCCACATACACAAAGGACACATTAGGGAGAAAATTTGAGGAATTGTTGATTATAAACGCGGCTAAAAGTTCAAAAATGGAGGTATGTATCATTATATAATATTTTATATTATATATATCTAATCCAGTGTATCATTCTGCATTTTTGAACATGATTTGTTTTTTTTTTAAATTATATATTTAAAATTTTTAATGTACACAGGTTATTCCATCATCTGAATTTATTATCTCAGTTTATGAAAATGGAAGAAGATATATTGTTTGTCTTGAGCGAAAAGTATGTTCTTGTGGTAGATTTCAACTAGATGAGATACCTAGTTCACATGCAATCGCTGTATTGAAAAAAAAGAATGTCACAGATATGAATCCGTATTGCTCTAATTATTACAAGCCTGATGCATTGACAAAAACATATGAAATTCCAATGGTACCAATGCCAGATAAGGAAGATTGGTCAGATCCTAATAATGTGGTAGCTGAAACTGTGTATCCACCTAGATATAGAAGATCATCTGGACGACCAAGAAAAAAGAAGAAGAAAGAATGCAGATGAAAAGATTTCGGTGAACACAAACTGTTGTGGACAATGTGGACAAGAAGGACACAACAGAAGAACTTGTACTTTCTACCCAAAAAAGAAGTGAATTAGTCGTAATGTTTCTAAGATATCAAGAATAATTTATAACGTAAACATTTTAATGATTTTCAGTTTTCATTAGAGTTGCAATTTGAACACTTTTGGTTTATATAAATAAACTTAATAACCTGTGTTAATTAAATTTGAAGTCGCGCTTTTGATTATAAATACTTTGTTATTATTGGTGTTGATAAATATATTTGTGTCAATATTTCTTTTTCATATAAAATTTTATAAATCATATGTTACACTAAGATATATAAATTTAAGAATTATTAGGTAACATATTGTCCATGATACATATGGTTTATCCAATGTATCATGTACTTTTAGTGTGTGTTTGGTACATGTGTATCATTTGCTTTGCCCAATGTATCATCTCCATTAGATAAAAAATAAAAAATCTTATTGAGGTTAGTGTGTACTTTACAATGACTATAAATCATGTATCATGTGATTTTATATAATTTAACTTGTGTAATGTTTTTTTTATATGTTTTTCTTGAAATATACAGTAAATAACTTTACTTTTAAAAAATAATACCAATTCATATAACTATGCTATTCATTGTACTTAAATATCATGTAAAATTTAAGGATTATAAGGTAACATATTGTACATGATACATATGGTTTAGCCAATGTATCAGGTACTTTTAGTGTGTGTTTGGTACATATGTATCATTTGGTTTTGCCCAATGTATCATCTCCATTAAATAAAAAATTTAAAAATCTTTATTTCTATGTTTAATTATAAATACTTTGACTATACTTTATTAAAGGAATTAAACCTGTGTGACGCTATAATATGTCTGATATTTATATTTTCAAGATAAAAATATTTGGTACGTAATGTTAAAAAAAATATTCATGGAAATTGACAAACCCAAAAAAATATTAAAAAGGATCAAAATACTTGTTCAATAACATATCAAAACAAGAAATATAACATTAAAACATTGTTTTATCATAAAATGCTACACTATGTAAACTAAATCTTCTTCTGGTGGTGGTGTGACTACGCCCCTAGATTTTGGTGGATCATCATTGTCACTAACATACCCGCACTTAGCTTTCTCGCTTCCATAACTCCATAGTAATGCTCCATATCTTTGACGTAGGTAATCAGGACTAAAACCAGCATATGATATATTGATTTGGTCACTCATATACTCGGCAAATGCAGTAACATATAACCCACAGTCTCTACAAAAAAATACAAAATAAATTAAAAACTTAATGATACATTAAAAGGACCAAGGAAAAATTCTTGATACTTACAGGCTATCGCAGTCCTGTTTAGGGATGTCTTGTGCAAATTCAATCATGAAAGGAACTTGAGGCTCCAGAAGTGAACCATTAATGTTGTCTTTTTATACAAGACAATCAACAAATTTTGTGCGTTCATTTTCTTCAAAAAAATCCATTGTCCAGTAGGTAAGAAGGAAGCATTTTAGACAACATTTTTATCTCATGAGGAATTGCTTTTTTCCTTGTGCTAATTGATGAGTCAAAAACTCTTATCACCCTGTTTTTCAACTCAACAACAACCAGCACCCAATGGAATTCTTGATCACAGTTAATTGGGATGTAGACCTAATCTACAAGATGCCATGGTAAAGCAGCTGGTATTCCAAAACCTTTGATGATGTTAATTATTGACTTCTCATATACAGATACAACTGAAGCGCGATCAACATGTTCTTGTGTAGTAAGACTATCATCATTATCGTCCATGTAATATCTATCATAACAATTTTTTACATGTGACATGAACAAGCAGTGGGTTGTTGTATATCTGTATTGATCCATGCTGCAAAATTTTGATTTTTTACGAAGGTAGTAAAAAATCACATCGATGTGCTATAAACAAAATGAAAACATAGTAAGAAATGATATTCATCTAAACAATATAAAAAATATAATTATTAAAAAATAGTATGATACTTTTGCTAATTAAATAGTATGATACTTCTACAGAATGTATCATTGCTAATTAAATAGTATGATACTTCTACAGAATGTATCATGTTATTATAATATAATTATGACTGATACATATTTGATGATTAGTTTAAGATTTTTACCTCATCAGACCAACATTTGTTTGACTGTGACATGGCATAAAACAAATTCTTGTTCATTGGAAAAGCAACAACAAAATCCATCATCGTAAATCCAAAAGAAGAATATTTTGATCTGTATTAATCGTCTGATGGGTTCCTGCATATGTGATACATAAGTTTGAATATATATACATGATACATAACACTCACTTAATTACAATTTTTATATAACAAAGTATCATGAATTAGTTATATAAAAATGATTACGCTTAACACTTGCAAAAATAATGTATAAAACTTACTTATTGTTATGATTTTGTAGAAGCCCCCTTGACAACCAATTCATGTAATCCTCAATAAGTTTCGGCGAAACTTGATCTGTAATGCCACATACTTCGAACGGGAAATGGAGTCGAGCCATATCCTTCAATTTCTCTTTTCCCTTCTCGCTTGACCCAAAAGAAGTACAATATGGAGATTGAATCCTTCTCGAAGGCATTCTATTTCTATGCACAGGAGTGACTGAATCGGTTCTAACACCAATCTCAGTTATTGGAATATCAGTGGGTAATTGACTGTCGGCCAACAAGTACTGGCTGTTATTTATATTCTGTGGATTGTAAGAATATAATGGTCTAGCATTAGTAGGATCTTTATCCAAATCTTTGATAAGCGCATCTATTGCTGCTTGAGTTGATGGCGATATTGTTGTTGAAGTGGAAGATTCCTGTATAATATGATGTAATAATTTTTAAAATAAATTTGTGTGTAATGAAATTGTGTGTCATAAATCAAAATTGAAAAATCTAGCGATGCATCCATTGTTGTTTTTTCGGGCAAAACATGAGGGATGTTGTGTTGAACATTGTCATCAACATCTTGCTCCATGATATGTTCATTTAAATCTTGGTGCGACTGATGTGCGTCACAATCCTGAATATGCAGTTTTGAAATAAAAATTGTTAATATAATTTGTGCTGATACGTAACAGTGATTATAATCACATGATACATAGTCTTGAGTAAATGTGCATGATACATGACAACAATTAAAATGAAAAAGAAAGTGTCCATGATATGTTCATTTAAATCTTGGTGCGACTGATGTGCGTCACCATCCTGAATATGCAGTTTTGAAATAAAAATTGTTAATATAATTTGTGTTGATATGTAACAGTGATTATGCTCACATAATACATAGCATTGACTATATGTGCATGATACATGACATACATTAAAGTGGAAAAATAAAGTGTCCAATGTATCATAAACATTACCTTTGGAGTATCACTGACTAGTTGTTCACCCTCATTTAAAGAAACACCAACACCATCCTCAGCGACATCCCCTGCATCGTCGACGATTTGATGTTCACCATTTTTACCAGAAAAACCAACACCATCCTCAGCTACACCACCCATATCAGAAAGATCAATTGGTATTTGCTGAGATGTTTGTTTGTCAGACTGAAATGTGCTTGTATTAGCCTGAAAATTGATGTTTTCCTTGCCTATATATTGCATCAACTGGGAGTGATTTGCTTTTATCAATATAATCAGTTCCTCAAATTTCTTGTCAACCTACAAATTGTAGATACATTTAGGATAAAAAAATTTGTTTAAAAATATCAAAATAATTTACTTACGTAAGTTTTCAAATGTCCTTTCAACTCTTCAATATATGGAATTATATTGTTGACATTCTGAGAATCTGCAAACCCATGAACATCAGCAGTCGGGTTCGGAGACACGTCTGGAACAGAACCATGTACATCAGCAGCCGATTTCGGTGACACTTCTGGAACAGAACCATGTACATCATCAGCATTCAAATTTGGAGGCAGATTTGACATAAAAACATGTACATCATCATCCAGTGTCGGAGACACATTTGATTGATCAGGCTGGTTCTGTTCTGACACTTTCTTTTTTTGTATAATCACTTTTTTTCTTCTTTTTGGCGGTGGTGGAGGAGATGTATCAGACACTCTAGAATATGTCCTCAATAACTGTTTGGGAGGTTTTGTGGAGAAATTATCAAAATCATCTTCCTCATTTGGTTGTACTAATGGTAATGATGAAGAATGGGCATGTTCAACTTGAGCAAGGTCAAAAGCTTCAATTTCCTCTGCTGTTGGGACAATGTTTGAACATGCATTCTGAATGTATCACAACACATAAGATAATTTAACTGTTAATACAATAATATTTCACAATGTATCACAAGACATAAATAACGATATTTCATAGACAAAAATAAAATTTTACCTCTTGGAAAATGGTAGACATAAGCATTTCAAATTTTGTCTTATCAGACACAACTCTCCAATTGCACATTCTTGGGATGACATTTCGTTCTTTCACAGCTATTTCAGAATTTAAATTGGATACACATTCGTATATCCAAATGTTAAGTGCATAGGGCATCCCATATAATCGATAAAACTTTTTACTAACATCAAAATCTTGTCTAAGTGAACCAATTAGTTTTGAAAATGATAGATGACCCCAAGGAAAATGTTGATATCTACCATCTTCAACCATTAGAAAGTCCACAATAGATATAGTTGTATTATCAAGAGTAGCTAATACAAATGTATGAATAAGGAACAGTATAGACATTTGGAGTGCATCCTGATTGTTCTCCCAATTACCCATCTTAAACCGTTGAACTAGTTGATGCTTGGTAACACTATTGACTGCACCAGAAAAATACTTTTGGAAAAGCATACAATTAGTTGGTTCTGGGTATTTGAAATCATTGATATTTCCTCTGACCTTAAGTCCTGTTAATAATGCAAATTCATCTATATCAAATTTTAGGACACACCCGTTTGAATGTCTAATATGCA